TAATTGTATTAACAGGAGGAGATCCAGAAGAAAACTGGCTATATTGTAATGAGAGCAGAGGGAGTATATGATGTCCATGCCCATGCATCTATTTAAAATAGCCAGACTTATAAACTTGATATTTGTGATCCCAGTTGCAAGTGAAATTCTGTTTATTGTGACTGTTGTGGGATTATTATGCTTTATGATTAAGTGACCACTGCTTAAAAAATAAAAAAACAAATGAAGAAGATAAAGGGGAGAGGATAAAGTAAATAGTTAAAATTGCAATGTGGTTTTCAATTCATTTTGAAGTAAAGGCACAGTTAATCTCACACTATAAATAACTATCAAAATGTTGCTTTAAATTTTAAATTTCATATTTCTACTTCATTGTTCTTTGTTCACCACGCTGTTCTATAGGAACATCAGTGTGAGACAGTATCTGGTTTTGTATGCGAAGCATTTGGATACATCCCGAGCTGGGGCTGGTGAGAGCATCAAAGTTGTCCTCAAAAGGGATAATCAAGATGATGATGATAAGCATGATGAAGATGGATCTGATCATCAAGATTTGACGGAAAGGCATCAAATATATAGACTTAAGGTAGGGTAAAAGAACCAAATGGGATTCAGTAAAAAAAATAAGAAAATGAATGTAGCTAGCAGTCATGCAGTCTCTTGACTCTCTTCCACATATAACTTTTTGAAATTAATGCTATTATGGGGGCATGCATTTGTTCATATAGGAATCTGCTTTTATATTGTTCATCCTATGAGATGCTTCATTTGTTGGCTCAGTTTGCTAAATGAAACTTAGCAACTAATAATAATAATTCATATGCTTTGTTCTTGTGTAACATTCAAGTTTAAACATTTTTTCTGGAAAATAAATTATCCATGTGATAACCGTATAGGCTAATAATGCTAAATCTTGAGCACACAATTGAATTACTGATTAATATGAGTGAAATGTTGTCCCTGGTGCAGATATTGGCTGCAAGTGCCTGAAAGGTTAGTGCTGTTCGTTCTGAGTAGATAAACAACTGGGAAGCAATGTCAGAGGCCAAAGATGTAACTCGATTGATTCCCAAAATCACGAAGAGGAAAGGGAACGGTGACAAATTGGATAACATTACCTATGTTGAGAATGCATTTCAAAAGAGACGAGAATCGCCTTTCTGATCGCTATGTAGTTGCTGAAGATACATAAGATAATGGAAATTAGCTACATTGCATATTCTGTTTTCTTTTTCTTTAGCTCCTTTTTTTTCCTTTGTCATATTCTTACTGCACCATGAAGAAGAAACGGAAGGAAACCATAGGATTACTAGGTAGACTAACATTGTAATACTTTTCATAGATGAAGCGAAGTATCAACATCTGAAATATCATCATGGTAAGTTGTGTATATGACAATGTCTCTGGACCATAAATGCTCCAATAGTAGAGTTTGAATGGCCTGAACCTGGGTATTCCTGCTTTGCATACTGGCTCCTCTTTCGAGTGTACACCGAAGAGGCAGCTGTGAAAGCATGAGTTGAGGGTGGAAAAGTGATCTAGATGGCACTAAGATATAGCTGCATTGATCTACCTTGATTCAGGGAACATCCGAAAGAGCTCTTTCTCCTGCCTCATCTCCTTGGCTCTCTCCAACTGTTTGAACCTTTCTTGCAGAAGAGCAATGGATGGATGAACGACTGTTGGATCAATCTGTCTATCTCCACTCATTGGAAGATGAAGAGTACACTTTTAAGGAGACCTCAAATGCATATGCTCATAATATAGGACATAGCTAGGACTTTAGATGATTACCTTAATTCATTCATTCCGGTTATTTGATTCTATGTGACTATAAGTTTAGAATGGACAAAGGCAACTGATTTGCAAAGTGGACGGATCTTCCCATTATATTTAGCTTTGAACATTCTCCTTTTTTCATTTGTGGACAACACAAAGCTTGAACGCTGTGAACACAATTTGGACTTTGATGTTTTTATCAAAGAAAACCATTTTATGGTGAGGTGAGAAAAGAAGAAGAATCTACCAAAGCCAAGCCCTACTTTCTCTCTGTACATGTTCTGTTTTGTCTTGCGCTTTTGGATGGAAATAGTATGGAAGATGAAAGTTAAGACATTAGATTGGATCTGTGGTTGTTGGGGGAGTGAAATTTGAAATGCAACATGTACCCTAAAGCTAGAGATAGATATCTCTCATTACC